GTTGGACCTTTTGACTCGTTGGACCTTTTGACTCGCCGTGGATCTTTTGACTCGATGGATCTCTTGACTCGTTGGACCTCTTGACCCACATTGGATCTTTTGACCCGTGTCTGGCGAGTCAAAAGATCCAACGAGTCAAAAGATCCATTATTGGACCTTTTGACTCGTTGGATCTTTTGACTCGTTGGATATCTTGACCAGAAGCGACTGAAACCCACCAAAAATGTTTTTTTTTTCCTTTTTTCCAGGCGATTTGTTTCGCGTATAGTTTTTTTAATAAAGCCAAAAAGCGCAACTGCTCGGAACCGAAACCCCCGCACCCAAAGAGGATAGAAGGGTAGGAGAGGGCATGACGTCAGCCGCGTAGCCTCCACAAGCCAAGCTCCCTTGACACCTTACCTTTCTCATTTTCCTCCTTACCCTCCTCATTTATCAGGCCAACGTGACCACATTACGTGACCGTAGCTAGCCTTCGTCTAGCCTTCGATCTGATAAAACCTATTCGACGGAGCGCGAGCGAGCCTGCAAGGAATCCTCCTACAATCAACCATCCATCTCACACGTGACATGTCACGCGCACCGATTGCCAGAAAGATCTACGGTGACGTCGGCCTGATAACTTTTAACTGACAACATCGTTTAAACCTTTTATGACTAGGCTTCACCAATATTGCAACGTGCCCCCTCCTAGTACTTATAACCTCCTTGCCCGCACCGCACGGAGAAGTGGAGAGTGAGTGGCGGAAGTCACTTGGCTACACCCGACCTTGCGATTATTATTTTTTTTCTTCTTCCGCGCGCAGCAGACGAAATGCGTTGCAGGATCCGTTTGCCGTGCGATTCCTTTGCAGTTATGTTTGTTCCACTCGCTGTTCTGTACTTCATAGTTTAAGATGAGTTGTTTTGTACATTTAAGTGTTGGCAATTAGTAGTGAGTGCCCGTGGTGGATTCCCGTGATCGGCTCCGAAAAGAATACTCTCAAGATGTTGCGTAAAGAGCTGCCTCACATGTCCTGCATCGGAAAGTGGCATTGTGCGGCGGAGATGTCAAAAATGGAATCCCATACCATTTAGTTCAGCGACGTATCGTCCACAATCGATTTTTTCAGCGATAATTGTAAAAAAAAAAAGATGTAAACATCGCAAAATGTTTGAAAAAAAAAAAATAGTACGCCTACACTAGGGATCGAACCCGTGTCCGCTGCGTGTGAAGCGCTGTCTTGCCACTGAGCTACTGAAGGAACTCTCTCATTCCTAGTAATGCAGCCGGTCGACTGTATGTCGGAAAGTTTGCTGCCGATTTCCCTCCAGTACATGCATTCCCAGCTTGAAGTGGGACGCCTTTTTCGGAGGTCGATACGGGGCAGAGCAAGAAGGTAGAGTAGTAGTCTGACGTCCGTGACGTCATGTCCGGTTTTCGTGACATCTTCACCCCTTTACTACGCGCACTCCTCCGGAGTATGCTCCCAACTCGTTCCCCCGAAGTCAACCCAACGAACCCAGCTGTCATAGCTGGAAAAGACGGCCCGTGCCAGTCGTTTGCAAAGCCAGCAAAGCGACGCACATGGAAACAAATCACCGCGGCGTTTTTCGCGGCCTCGGAGATGCAGGAGCGAGCCGATGTTAAAAAATTGTGTTTCAACTACGAGTGTCAGCAAGATCCACGTAAATACCTGTGCACGCTCGGAGTGGACGCGCGCGTTTGATCGAAGTGCTTCGGGACCGATCTTTTACGATTACCACTCGATAATGAGGTGATACTCGGCAAAGAAAGGTGGGACCGGCATTGCGTAGCTCCCACGAACTGTTAGAGCTCGACAGTGACGTACCCTCGTGTCAGAATAAAAATGGCATACTAATAACAAAGTGTACATACCTTGACGATAATAATCCCTGGAGAAGCTCGCTTGCACATTTGCATTTAATTGCATTATAATTACATACCGTGTTGCGAAAGTAATCCATACGACGTTTATTTGAGCTCCATATCACACAAAACAATGAGATAGAATCGATGAGAGTCCCGTTTCGACGACAGCGTTCGTCACCGCTGCCTCGGAAAACAAGGAGATGACAAGGGGAAGAGATTGAGGTCAGCGATCAAACTATAATACGGGGGGTCCACAAGGGTCGCGCGGGCGGGTATTCCATCCAGCAAGCCAGCCGGTCGTGGGCACACGGTCTTGGGCAAGGACCATGGGAGCAACGCTGTGCCGAGTCGGAGTGCCTGCTAGGCCCAAATTCTGCCGAGCTCGCTCGGTCGGTGTCATGGTTGCCGTTCTCGCTTTTCCCGGGAGTTTGTGGATCCAGCGTTCGTGTTCGTCGTGGCCGGTTTCGAGTACTTCCTTCTTTTTTTCTTGCTGCTTAAAATCGGGACCCGCCAGACGAGCACTTAGAAAAATAAATGTCCGTTTTCGTCGCGATCAAGTAACTGAGCGACGTTGTCGGCCACGTTGATATGATCGTAGAAAGACTGCTCCGGAGCTGTTGTCTGTCATACGTACATTTTTGGCGTAAGATCGTTTCGTGAATCCGGCCACGGTTCTTCAGCGCATGGCACTGCAACAATAACACGCCGCAACCGCCGCCTCACCCCGCCCCAACACTAGACACAAAAACAACCCGCAACAAACTCTCCGCAAAAAGTAAAAAAAAAAAAAAAAAAAAGCTTTTGCTTGTTTTTACGTTTCCGGCAGTGACGTCACGGACGTCGCTGCCCCGTATCGACCTCCGAAAAAGGCGTCCCGCTTGAAGTCGGGCAGCACCACGCATTGGCCACATTTGCACCTAGTAAAGAAACTTCACGCGTGCGTATTCAACACGAAGTTCGCACTTCGTGCTTGACGTTTGAGCGAACGATGTCTTCAGCCACGAGAAGAGACGACGGCTCGGCGACGTCTTCGTGCAATCGGCTTGCTGGTCGGGCGTTGGTTCTAGCTTATAGGTGAAGCGTCGGCGTTGTTGTTGCCATTAGTCCCATTCACAGAGTCTGCCACTGAGCTGGAAGCAGACCCAAAGCCGAGTGCCCCTGCCAGTACGAGCTCCCGGGTTGCCTGTCCACACTCTGCCGGTTGAATTGGTTGCGGACCGGTGCACGACAATACATAAATCCCTGCATGCAACAAGGTGCGCGTTGCACTCTGGGAACTAGTTGGCCAGGGAGGAGAGTGGCATGGTTTCGGTTCGATGACACGTCGACAAGAGATTATACACAGAGCATGGACTATTAACGGCCGTTATCTCATGTTTTCTGGTCGCGATAGCATCATTTGTGGTCTTTAAAACTAACCTAAATGGCCAGACCTTGAAGCTTTGGCACAAGCCCAAAACGTATAGCTTGTCCTAACACATGCTTGTTGTATTTTTGTACTTGAGCCTTT